GGTGTGGCGAGTTCGGAGGTCAGTGCAAAAGCAACTGCGGCAGGGGCAAGCACCTGATCGCAGCACTGCCCCAACAGCCATCGCCAGCGCAGTCATTCTCATTGGATTGTCTGCAATGGCAGTGTCAACTCACGTCATCAATGGTGTAGGCAGTGCGGTCAACACTGGGAGCAGCTGACCATTCAGCATGATGTTCAGCAACAGCAGGCGTCGACTTCGAAGGCTGAGAAGAGCACAGGACCAGTAAAGAGGACAATAATAGTAAGCAGGTTCCATCGATCGAGAAACTGCAGCATTTGCTCGACCTCTTGAAGCGTCTTGAGATGAGTTCGGAGGGGACCTAACAGACCCTTGCTGAGCAGGCGATGGCGTCAACGGGAAGTGATTTCCCACAAGCTTCGCGAGGAGCGCGCTTCAGAGAAGTCCGAGAGCCAGCTGGCATAGGCAACTCTCCAAGCTCTTCAAAGCACAGCAGCAGATGGATAGCCAAACGGAACCCAGGCAGAAGTCAAGAGAGCGGCCTCGGGGCAGACCTCGAGGCTCCCAAGACAGCGCACGCGGAACCCGAGCCGACGTTCACAGGCTGTCGATGGAGCAGCAGCCCGCGAGGCTCGACCCGTACGTGGTTCAGGTACCACCAGGGCTTGTTCATCCACGCGGCGAGGATGCAGCAGTGGCTCTGGCGACGGGCCCACCCATGGCATCGGCTCAGGCATGTGTCGGCAGCCCGGAGTTCTTGCACCGCGGGCTTTCTGGTGAGCTCACCGAGGAGCCGCAGGTCCCAGTGACGGAGTTTGCGGCGCAGGTGCGTGCCAGAGCAGGTCTGTCACTACAGTCGAGGCTGATTCGTAGGTCGCCCTGCCGAATCAAGGGGACCCTTTTGACCTGTGTTCCATGACACATGCCTCCTACGCTCCTGTGGCAGTGTCACCCTTGGAAGGGTCTTGTGTCCTCTCGCGTGTCCTCTCCAATCAGCCTGGACTGTACAGCCAGCACCTGCGTCAGCAGCAGCAGTTGCGGCAGCGGGCTTCTGGGAAAGCCGCCGGACTGGTGCGTCGGGTGCTGGGCGAAATGCAGCGGCGGCGGTGGATCAGGCAGCAGAGGAGTCTGCGGACGCAGAGGTGCCCCATGCGCGGCTCGCATGTTGTCGGGAGGCAGCGTCTGAGGAGGAGGACGCAGCCAGGAAGCGCCACGAATGTGAGGAGGCCAGGCAACGGCCCGGGTAATGCTCGGAAGCAGCATGCCAAGAAAGAGTGGCTTGAAAGTCTTGATTATCAATGCGAACAGCTGTTGTTCTGCAAAACCGTATATTTAAGAGGCTTACGTCATGCCGACGACCCCCAGAAGAGGCGGGGACTCCACGGTTGAGGCGTCGTGGGCTTCTTGGTATTGGGGAGCCCTCGATGGCGTCTTGGGAGCTGTTTTGGGGCCTGGCGCAGCCTCTCGGAGGCACTTCTGTAGCGTCTTGGGGCCCATTATGTGGCCTCTTTTGGGCCTCTTGGGGGCCTCCTTGGGTCTTGGCTTGTCTTGGGGCCTTCTTGGGGGGATCTTTGGCCGTCTTGGGCCCCTCTTTTGGGCCGTCTTCGAACACTCTTGGGCCGTCTTCGAACCCTCTGGGGCCTCTGGGACAGTTTTGGTGCGGTCTACGGGGCCTCTTGGGCCGTCTTGGAGCGTCGGAAGCTCGAGAAGGCGATAACCCAAGAAACAATGAAAGACTTACTTAAGGGAAACCCTTGATTTTTGCCTCTCGGGGCCCTCTTGGGAAGGCCCTTGGAGCCACCGTAGGCGTCTTGGGCCAATCCCTCGACGATTCGGGACCGTCTTAGAGCATCTTTGAGGCCACGGAAGGCAGATTTGTGAGCTCTGGAGTCTCCCGGGGTGCGCCAGGGAGCCCCGATCCCCCCCCCTGACACTGGATGTTCGACCCTGGCGCAAGTGCAAGGGGGAGGGGGGACAGCCAATTCTTACACCCGGCAAGCGGGGTTCAGCGGATTCGCATGACCATCTTGGTGGTGATGAGATGATGATGATGCTGATGATCATGCTGATGGTATTGATGATGACGATGACGATGATGATGATGCTGATGATGCTGATGGTGATGCTGATGCTGATGATGCTGATGGTATTGATGATGACGGTGAGCGATGATGATGCTGATGATGTTGATGATTATGATGCTGATTGTGGTGATGATTACTACGAGGGTAATGACGATGGCGATAACGATAACGATGATGATGCTGATGATGATGGTGATGATGGTGATGATGAGGATGGTGATGATGATGATGATGATGATGGTGATTGTGATAATGGTGATGATGGTCTTGATGATGACGACGCTGGTGATGAGGATGATAATGATGATGAGGATGATGATGATGGTCCAGATGATGATGCTGATGATGGTGATGGTGATGGTGATGCTACCGTGATGAGAAGATGATGCTGATGATAAATGTTATTACTATCATTTTGATGATGATTATACTGATGAGATGGCGATGACGATCATGACGACGATGATGCCGATGATGATGGTGCTTGTGCTGATGGTGCTGATGGTACTGTTGATGACGATAATGATGTTGCTCGTGATGATGGTGATGATGTTGGTGATGCTGATGCTGATGGTGATGACGATGACGACGACGATGATGATGACGATGCTGATGATTAGCTTGCGATTGTTATTAGTATTATGATTATAAAGGTGAAGATGGTGATGACGGCAACGAGGCCGTTGTTGATGATGATGATGCTTGTGATGCTGCTGATGATGATTGTCGTGATGATGATGCCGATGATGATGATTTTGATGATGATGATTCGGATGCTTCGTGATAGGATATTGATGATGATGATGACGATGGCGATGGCAATGGTGATGGTGATGGCGATGTGGATGATTATGCTGATGATGAGGATGACAATGACGATGACGATCATGATGATGATGATGATGATGATGATGATGATGATGATGATGATGATGATGATGATGATGATGATGATGATGATGATGATGATGATGATGACGATGATGACGATGATGACGATTATGATGATGGTGAAAATGGTTGTGATGATTGTAGTGGTGGTAATGATGACAATATTATGATGTGGTGATGCTGCTGCTGCTGAGGAAGGAGGAGGAGGAGGAGGAGGAGGAGGAGGAGGAGGAGGAGGAGGAGGAGGAGGAGGAGGAGGAGGAGGAGGAGAGAAGGAGGAGGAGGAGGAGGAGTTGGAGGAGGAGGTGGGGGAGGAGGAGGAGGAGGAGGAGGAGGAGGAGGAGGGATGAGGAGGAGGAGGAGGGAGGGAAGGAGGAGGAGGAGGAGAGGAGAGGATAACGAGGAGGATGTGGTGGAGGAGGAGGAGCAGGAGAGGAGGAGGAGGAGGGAGGAGGAGAAGGAGGAGGAGGAGGAGGAGGAGGAGGAGGAGGAGGAGGCGGCAGGAGGCAGGAAGAGTAGGGGGCACGAGGAAAAGGAGAAGGAAACACGAGCAGAAGGAATCTGAAGTCAAGGGCGCCGCGTCCTCCGCCCTGGCGCCCGTGGCGGTCTCTTGCGCCGTGGCGGACGCTTCTCTTCCCTCGCGCCAGCGTCAGTCGCCGTCTGTTGTCGTCTGTCGTCTCCGCCTCGTTCGTCGTCGGCGTCGTCGTCGTTTCGTCGTCGTGGTCACGGCGCGGTCGTCTCGCCGTCGACTCGTCGTGGTCGTCGTCGTGGTCGTCGTCGTGGTCGCCGGCGTGATGGTGGTCGTCGTTGTCGTTGTCGTGGTCGGCGGGGCCGTCGCGGTCGTTGGCGTGATTGTCGGCGTGGTTGGCGTTGACGTCCTCATGCTCGTCGTGCTCGTCGGCGGCTTCGTCGTGGCCGTCGTCGCGCCGGCAGGCGTCGTTGGGACGATCAGCGGCACCATTTTTGCCGACCTGTTCGGGCGCTCGTCCGTCGGGATGACAAGGACGCCGCGGGCGCGCGGGGAGAGGGCATATGGGGACTGTCAGGGCTCTTCTGGGATGCGGTTTTGGACAGGTGTGCTGGTCATGGGTCGAGGCGAAATTTTGTTGCCGCCGAGTGTGGGCCTCTGGGTTGCCCTTGGCTCACTCGCTGGTGGCTTGCCCCGCGGTGTCGCCTTCCTGTCCTCCTTGGACAGCCTGCATCGCCCGCGCACCCCTGGCGTCAACGCTGGTTGTCGGTGCGTGAGGCCGACACCGTGCGCCCTCCTTGCCGACTCTCGGTTGCTCGGGCCCTCTTCCTCCCTCCTCCGCGGCCGTCTCCGCTTGTCTACTGGCATCCTGGTCGGGCCCGATGCTGCTCGAATCAAATCTGAACTATAGCTGGATCCAGGTTCAACTGACTCCTACTGAGGCTCGCCTCCAGCTCCACTGGACACCTACGATGGCTGGTCAAGCTCTGATAGCATCCGGATCAGGCTCGATCTTTGAGAGTTCTATGACATTTGGATCCAGGCACATCTAAAATCCTACTGCAGCTCGGTCCAGCGCTGATGTAATCCAATCCTGATTCAGCACGATCAAGCCCTAATTGAATCCTACTGGTGCTCGGTCCACCTCCAATAGACTCTTTGCCAGGGCTCGATCCAGCCCTACTAGCAGCCAGTTAAGGATCGATCGTCGTCGGCGTCGACGTCGTCGTCGGCGGAGGCGTCGTCGTCGTCGTCGTCGTCGCCGTCTCTGTCGCCGTCATCGTCGTCGTCGTCGTCGTCATCTTCGTCGTCGTCCTACGAAGGTTCGATCCAGCTCTTGTAGAACTCCACTATAGCTGGACCCAACCTTCGTAGCATCCGAATCGGGCTCGATCTTGTTCTAATCGAACCCGAATATTGCTGGATCCATGTCCAATTTAATTCCTTTAAGGTTTGATTCATCTGTAATTGATTCTACTATAGCTGGATCCAAGTCAATAGCATCCTAATCCGGCTCGTTCTATCACCTGATATAACCTGAGTATCGCCAGATCCACCTGTAATTGAATCCTACTATATGTCGATCCAGCTCTACTAGAATCCTAGTACAGCAAGATCCAGCTCTAAGGGAATCCTTCGTGTGCTTGATCCACCCCCAATAGACTCTTACGAAGGCTCGATCCAGCCGTAATAGCAGCCTACTTAGGACCGATCGTCGTTGTCGTCGGCGTCGTCGTCGTCGGCATCGTCGTCGTTGTCGCCGTCTTCGTCGCCGTCTTCGTCGCCGTCGTCGTCGTCGTCGTCGTCGTCCTAGTAAGACTCCGTCCAGCTCGAATGAATCTCCACTATAGCTGGATCAAATTATCACAGCATTGTAATCGTGCTCCACCTGGTTTTAATAGAAGCCGATTGAATCCCGTTTCCAGCTCCATCTGAATCTTTTGAAGGCTCGATTTAGTTCAAAGTTATTCCAACTGTAGGTGTGTCCAATTTACATAACATTCTAATCGGGATCGGTCCAAGTCTAATCGAATTCCCCCTCTGTTTGCAGCAAGGGTGTGGTGGAGGTTCGCACCAGAGCTCCCCCCTCTCTTTCGTTGAATTGCAAGAGGGTGAAAAGCTTCGAACCTAACAGTTTCTGCCTTCCCCTGCCAATGGGAAGCGCCGGCGGTGGGCGCTGGCGCCGGCGACGGCGCCGTCGAGCAGTCACGACGACGACGACGACACCGACGACGACGCCGACAACAGCGCGACGTTCACAGCGACGACACTGTTGATGACGACGGACAACGGGCGGACGGTGAACGACGCCCGACGACAGACGGCGAACGACGGACGAGGAACGGCGCGGGCGACGAATGGTGGACGACGGACAACTGACGATGAGGACAACGACGACGACGATGATGGTAGATGACGACGACGACGACGACCGGTGCACGACGAAGACGGGCAGGAACGACGACGACCGACATTTACGACGACGACAGTGGCGAAGACGACGGACGACGGACGACGAATGACAGACGATGAACGAGGAACGACAAACAATTTACAACGACGACTACGGCGGACGACGGCCTACGGACGGCGGACCATGATGGCGACGACGACCGTCGCCATCGTCCTCGTAGTCGTCATCATCATCGTCGTCGTTTTCGTCGCCACCGTCGTCGTTATCGGCGTCGTGGTCGTGGTCGTGGTCGTGGTCGTGGTCGTGGTCGTGGTCGTGGTCGTGGTCGTGGTCGTGGTCGTGGTCGTGGTCGTCGTCGTGGTCGTCGTCGTCGCCGTCGTCGTCGTCGTCGTCGTCGCCGTCGCAGCCGTCGCCGCCGTCGCCGCGGCGCGGCGCGGGCGCTCGCCGCCGCCGGTGGCAGGCAGGCGGGGCCGCCCCGCCCCTCCCCCCGGCTCGAGCCCCGCCCCCCCCCTGTGATTCGGGCGTGGGAGCCGGGGCAAAGGCGCCGCGCACGGTCGCGCGCGCCGCAGGGACTCTGAAAGTGCCTTCGGGGCGGCTCAGGGGTGACCAAAAAATGGCAGAGTTTGTGTGCCAGTGCATTTTCTTTTGCTGCGTTGGGCGCCCTGGCGCGGACGGCCGAACGACCCCTGCAGCGGGACACCCTGCCCACACGGTCGGCGCCGCAAAAACTGCGCGTTCAACGCGGGCGCCGCGCAAAGGCGCGCTCGCGCCGTGCCCCCGCCCCCCTTCGAGACTGACCCTTGAGCACGAGGGCGGCAAAGAGGGGGGTGGTGACTGAGGGGGGGGTGGATGTCATGGCCTGGGCCATGATGTTTCCCCAGATTTCGTGGCGCCTCTTCTTATTTTTTGTTGCGTCCCTGGTCACCCCCCTGGGCCGCGCACATGCCGCCGGTCATGATTTGCGCCCCCCCCCCCCCCCCCCTTGACGCCCCCCTCTTGGCCGCCCCCGACTTGAGCACGAGGGCCTCATTTCCGAAGCCCCGTCGGCAGTATCAGGAGCCCCGTCGGCGGGATCGCACGCTCCCTGCAATTGAGGGGGGGGCGGAGCCCCCCCCTGTGGTTCAGGCCCTCCCCCTCAGGGCTCGAGCCCTTCCTCCGCCTCGAAGCGCCCACAGGGCGCGCTCTCTCGCAGGTGTGTATGTCGGAGGTCGGGGGGGTGAGATCGCAGCCGCACGCAGACCCCCAACGGGGAAATCGTTTCGCTTCGTCCGTGTCGTGTCGTACGGGCGAGGCGAAGCTGCGTGGGCGCGCGAGGGGAATGAACCCGCCGTGGATAGAACGAAGTCGAGACAACTGATTATCCCCCGCCCGCCCGCCCGTCGGCGGTGGCTCGCGGTGTCCCGCGGTGTCCCGTGGTGTCCTGTGGTGTCCGCCGTTGCCAGGGCGAAGTCGAGACAAATGATTCTCCTCCGCCCGCCCGTCCGGCGGTGGCTGGCGGTGTCCCGCGGTGTCCCGTGGTGTCCCGTGGTGTCCCGTGGTGTCCGCCGTTTCTCCCCCGCCCGCCCGTGCGTCCGTCCGTCCGGCGGTGGCTCGCGGTGTCCCGCGGTGTCCCGCGGTGTCCCGTGGTGTCCCGCGGTGTCTCGTGGTGTCCCGTGGTGTCCCGTTGAGTGAGATTGATAGTGAGATCGACAGTGAGATCGACAGTGATACCGATAGTGAGACCGATCGTGAGATCGATACTGAGACCGATGTGGTGCCCCGGGGTGCACCGTGGTGTACCAACAAATGAAATCGATAGTAAGATCGACAGTGAGATCGACAGGTGTCCCGTGGTGTCCCGTGGTGTCCCGTGGTGTCCCGTGGTGTCCCGTTGAGTGAGATCGATAATGGGATCGATAGTGATATCGATACAACGATATCGATGTGGTGCCCTGAGGTGTCCCGTGGTGTCCCAAAAAGTGAGATCGATAGTGAGATCGATCGTGACATCGACAGGTGTCCCGTGGTGTCCCGTTGGGTGAGATCGATAGTGAGATCGATGTGGTGTCCCGAGGTGTCCCGTGGTGTCCTACGGTGTCCCGTTGAGTGAGATCGATAGTGATATCGATAGTGATACCGATAGTGAGATCGAGAGGTGTCCCGCGATGTCCCGTGGTGTCCCGTGGTGTCCCGTGGTGTCCCGTGGTGTCCCGTTGTGTGAGATCGATAGTGAGATCGATAGTGAGATCGACAAGTGTCCCGTGGTGTCCCGTGGTGTCCCGTGGTGTCGCGTTGAGGGAGATCGATAGTGAGATCGATTGAGTCAGATGTTGGTGCCTCCTCCTCTTCCCCCCCCACAACCTCCTTATCACCCGAAGGGTGGTCGTATAGGTATGTATGTATGTGTAGATGTATAGGTATATGTATATGCATGTGTATATGTATATGTATATGTATATGTATATGTATATGTAGATGTATATGTATATGTATATATATATATATATCTGTGTGTGTGTGTGTGTCTGTTCGTCTGTCTGTCTGTGTGTCTTTCTGGTCTGGTCTTTCTGTCTGTCTGTCTGTCGTTCTGTCTGTCTGTCTGTCTGTCTGTCTGCCTGCCTGTCCGTCCGTCTGTCTGTCTGTCTGTCTGTCATGCGGTGTGAATGTATATGCATGTATGCATGTATGCATGTATGCAAATATGCATGTATGCATGTAAGCATGTATGCATGTATGTACGTATGTCTGTATGCACGCGTTTATGTATGACCATACTTATGCCCGCATGTATGTATGCATACCTGTATGCATGTATGTCTGTATGTCTGCCTGTCTGCCTGTCTGTATGTACGTATGTATGTACGTGCGCACATACGTACGCAGGTATATAGGTAGGTAGGCAGATAGGTCGGTAAGTATGTGTATGTGTATGTATGTATGTATGTATGTATGTATTTATGTATGTATGTATGTATGTATGTATGTATGTACGTACGTACGTACGTACGTACGTACGTACGTATGTATGTATGTATGTATGTATGTATACACATATATATATATATAGATACCTATACGACCACCCTTCGGGTGATAAGGAGGTTCGGGGGGGAGGGGCCAACGTCGCACTCGATCGATCTCACTCTCGATCTCACTATCGATCTCACTCGATTGATCCCACTCGATCAATCTCACTATCGATCTCACTATCGATCTCATCATCGATCTCATTCGCCCGGTCTCACTATCGATATCACAATCGATCTCACAAGATCCCTCCAACAATCGATATCAATCGAATTGCATGTAGATTCGCATGTAGATTTGCATGTAGATTTGCATGTAGATTTGCATGTCGATTTGCATTTTCGATTTGCACTGTCGATTTGCATTGTCGATTTGCATTTCGATTTGCTTGTCGATTTGCATGTCGATTTGCATTTCGATTTGCACTTTCGATTTGCATTTTCGATTTGCATTTTGATTTGCATTTTGATTTGCATTAGGTTTGCATTAGATTTCAGTTTCGATTTGCATTACCGATTTTCATTTTCGATTTGCATGTCAATCTGCATTTCGATATGCATGTCGATTTTCATGTTCGATTTGCATTTCGATTTGCATTTCGATTTTGCATGTCGATTTGGATTTCGATTGCATTTCGATGTGCGTTTCGATTTGCATTTTCGATTTGCATTTTCGATTTGCATTTCTATTTGCATTTCGATTTGCATGTCGATTTGCATTTCGATTTGCATCTTGATTTGCATGTCGATTTGCATGTTCGATTTGCATTGTCGATTTGCATGTCGATTTGCATGTCGATTTGCATGTAGATTTGCATGTCGATTTGCATTTCGATTTGCATGCCGATTTGCATGCCGATTTGCATTTCGGGACACCAGCGGGACACCAGCGGGACACCGGCGGGACACCGCGGGCCCCCGGCCGCCCAGAAGGGAGTCATTTGGTCCGGCCGCGCCTCAGCCACACGGGACACTAGCGGGACACCCGCGGGACACCGCGGGCCCCCGGCCGCCCGGAAGGGAGACATTTGGTCCGGCCGCGCCTCAGCCACAGAGGGACACTTTCCTCTCGCACGCCCACACAGCTTCGCCTCGCCCGCACGCACGGCACGCACGAACACGAAACCGAAATCGATTTCCCGGTAAGGGGGCTCTCCGTTCCACTTCGATCTCACCCCCTCACCTCCGATGTATGATTGTGTGTGATTGTGTGCATGTATGTATGCATGCATGCATGCATGCATGTCTGTCTGTCTGTCTGTCTGTCGGTCTGTGTGTCTGTCCGTCCGTTCGTCTGTCTGTCTGTCTGTCTGTCTGTCTGTCTGTCTGTCTGTACGTATGCATGTATGTATGTATGTACGGACGTACGCACGTACGTACGTAGGTAGATAGGTAGGTCGGTAGGTCGGTAAGTGTGTATGTATGTATGTATGCATGCATGCATGTATGTATGTATGCATGTATGCATTCATGCATGCATGCATGCATGCATGCATGCATGTATGTATGTATATATGTATGTGTGTGTATATGTATGTATGTATGTATGCATACATACATACATGCATGCATGCATGCATGCATGCATGCATGCATGCATGCATGTATGTATGTATGTATGTATGTGTATGTATGTATGCATGCATGCATGCATGTATGTATGTATGTATGTATGTATGTATGTATGTATGTATGTATGTATGTATGCATGCATGTATGTATGTATGTATGTATGTATGTATGTCGGTGTGTGTGTGTGTGTGTGTATGCATGCATGCATGCTGGGTCTTGGTCGCCAGATCTCCGACGATGCGATTTTCTGTTTATTTGCGTCGATTTCGGCTCGCGGGGCCCGCCATCGGGCCCAGGACCGTCAAAATCGGATCAGGGACGCGCGGCTACCCCTGGGGAAGGGGTCGGGACCTCTGGAGCCGCGGGCTTACATACATAGAAGCATATCGGTGGATGTCAGGGTGTAAGACGAAGTCGGATGCATGCTGCGGGTTTCGCCCCCCCCCCCCCCCCCCCCCCCTCCTGGCACAGCGAGTCGCGGAATGCAGGGTCGCTCCCGGCGCCCAGGAAGCTTGGCTGCGTGCAGCTGCTTCGCCAACGCCCTCCTCTGCATCCCCCCTCTGCATCCCCCCTTCTGCCAACGCCCCCCTCGCTCGGCCCATCCCCACCCCCACTGGGCTGTGGCATCTCGGCCCCGCCCTCCCCCTCCGTGCTGGGCCCCTCGACGCTCGCAGGGCACAGCCCCTGTCCCCATCTATTTGGGGGCAGGTCAGTGGGCCAGCGGGGCCCCGGCCACGCCGGAGGGGGCCGCCGCCCTGCACCGCGCGCGCCCGGCCGGCTCTCCCGGCGCGCTTGCCTCCCGCAGACCGCGCCGCCGCGCAGGAGCATCCTGGGGTGGGTGTCCACCATGGCCAGCGGCAGCGGAGCAATCGTCTTCAGGCGGTCCGCCGCCCGCGGCCCGGAGGGCGACGCGCGCGAGGAGCAGAGATGGTGGGCCTGCTTTCCACCACTACCACCACCATAAGTTGGAGGAGGAGGAGGACGAGGAGGACGAGGAGGAGGAGGAGAAGGCGGATGATGATGATGATGATGATGATGATGATGATGATGATGATGATGATGATGATGATGATGATGATGATGATGATGATGATGATGAGGAGGAGGAGGAGGAGGAGGAGGAGGAGGAGGAGGAGGATGACCCCCTACCCCTCCAACTTACGGTGGTGGTGGTGGAAAACAGGCCGATCAAGAGAGCTACATTAGGCATGAACTTTCGAAGGCCAGCTCGGACCTCCTGGATCTGCGCCGGGCCCCCGTCTGGCGCGCGGCGGGCGCTGGGGGCGGCGCGGGAGGCGCCGCCAGGGGAGGTCCAGTGCCGATGCGGTATATCCGCGCGGACCTCCGAAAGTTTGCTTTTTTTGTTTTTGTTTTTGCGTTATGTTTTTCCAATGTTTTTTGTTTCTCTTCGCCCGCTGCCTGCGGGCGACGTGGGCGCCTGTCTGGAGGGAGGGGCGAACGAGGAAGGGGGGGAAACGAGGAGGAGGATGCCTCCTCAGAAGGCGGAGGCCCTCGCGCCTTCTGAGAGGGTCTCTGTGCCCTCTGTGCCTTCGAGCAAGGCTTGGGTTATGATTAGGTCGGGCCTCCCTCTACAGGAGGAATATTCAAAGATAGTCAAAAGATCGTATGGTAACGATTTTTAAAATATATTTTGGCCACTTTGGGTATTTTTGGCTATATCTTATTTTTCTTTCAAAATCCCCCTGTGGGATGACAGGCCCGATTTCTGAAACGTGGTCATTAAGTACGATGGGAGCAACATAAGGCTTGGGAGTCTTCTCAGAAGGCCGGGGGACTTCTGAGCCTTCTGAGGAGGCCCGCCCCTTGAAGGGGTGGGCCTTCTCACTTCCCCCCGGGCTCGCCGCCGTCTGAAGGGAGGCGTGATTTTTTAAGTCGGGCATGTCCCTCAACAAAAAGTCAAAGAATCGTCAGAGAATAGTCTGGGGACATTTTTCTGCTATGTTGAATCATTTTGATGATGTTTTGATTCTGATCCGCCTCTAGGAGGACAGGCCTGACCTCAGGCGAACTGGAGGGATGAGGGGCCTTGCCGAGCTCGTTTCGGAGGAGGGCCGCGTGCTTTTCTGCCCTTGACGAGGTCCGCTGTCGGGCCCCCCAGGCCTGGTCAAACGGCAGAGATCCAGGTCCGGGACGCGCGAAACTGCCCCCGAGGAGGGACTCAAGTAGCACACCATCGGGATCCAGCAAATGGGGGTGTGTGCCCCGGTGTGTGTGTGTGTGTGTGTGTGAGAGTTCGATCGGTCTTTGCACCAAGCGCCCCCAAACAGAGGCCCCCCAGCCGCCGGCAGCCCCCGACGGTTGCCGATTGGTGGGGCAGGCGGGGGGTACCTCTCTGCGGCAGTTCGGTGCACCAGCGGATCGAACTCACGCCCCCCGTCGGGGTCACTCTCTCTCTGGTGGATCCCGACAAAACTGCCCCCTGGGCCGAGTCGGTGGGCGCTGTTGCAAGTTCTCACTACTGCCCAGACGAGTCCCGGTGGTGCTGTATGGTCGTCCCCTGGGTGCGTCGGTCGCAGCCCGCAGCGCTCTCGCGGCGTGCCAGGCAGGTCGCAGCTCGCAGTGCGCATCGTCGGGTGTCTGGAAACCCCCTGCTTCCTGAGACGGGGGCCTCCTTCGGGGCCTTTCGGGCACCTCTTCTCGGGGTGCCAGCTGGAGCCCTCAGGGGGGCCATCGCGCGCGAGTGCCGACGACGGCGGCTGTGGCGGCGACCGAGACCAACAGAGACCGAGGGCGACGCCTACGATGACTACCGACGACTTTTGTCGACGACTGCTGTTGACGCCCGCGCCGCCGCCGCCGACGACGAAGACGGCGGCGGCGGCGACGACGACGACGACGACGGCAGCGGCGACGGCGGCGGCAGCGGCGGTGGCAGTGGCGACGACGGCGACGACGAATACGACGACTGCTGCCGACGCTGGCGCCGCCGACGACGAGGATGACGACGGCGACAATGACGACGGCAGCGGAGCGGCGGCGGCGGCAGCGGCAGCGGCGGTGGCGACGACGACGACGACGAAGCCGACGACGACGACGACAATGACGAGTCGCCTACGACGACGACGAGGACGACCACGACGACGACGACCACGACGACGACGACGTTTGCTGTCGACGCCGGCGCCGCCGACGATGAGGATGACGACGACGGGACGATGACGACGACGGCAGCGGAGCAGCGGCAGCGGCAGCGGCGGCTGCAGTCGCGACGACGACGACGACGACGACGAATACGACGACTGCTGCAGACGCTGGCGCCGCCGACGACGAGGATGACGGCGACGACGACGATGGCAGCGGAGCGGCGGCTGCGGCAGCGGCTGTGGCAGTGGCGACGAGGACGACCACGACGACGACGACGACGACGACGAGTCGCCTACAACGACGACGAGGACGACGACGACGACGACGGCCACGACGACGACGACGACGACTGTCGACGATTGCTGTCGACGCCGGCGCCGCCGACGACGAAGATGACGACGATGACGACGACGGCAGCGGAGCGGCGGCAGCGGCAGTGGCGGTGGCAGTGGCGCCGCCGACGACCAGGACGACCACGGCGACGACGACGACGACGGCAGCGGAGCGGCGGCGGCGGCAGCGGCGGTGGCAGTGGCGACGACGACTTCGACGACGACGACGACGACTACGACTACGACGTCGACGACGACGACGACGACGACAACGACGAGTCGCCTACTACGACGACGAGGACGACCACGACGACGACGGCGATGACAACGACGACGACGACGGCGATTGTCGACGATTGCTGACGACGCCGGCGCCGCCGACGGTGAGGATGACGATGACGATGACGACGACGGCAGCGGAGCGGCGGCAGCGGCAGCGGCAGCGGCGGTGGCAGTGGCGAAGACGACGGCGAGGACGACGACGACGACGGCGGCGACAACGACGACGACGACGACAACGACGACGACTACACCTACGACGACGACGAGAACGACCACGACGACGACCACTGTCGAGTACTGCTGTCGGCGCCGGCGACGCCGACGACATCGACGACGAGGACGACGATGACGACGAGGCCGACGACGACGATGACGACTACCACTACTACTACGACTACCGTCAACATCGACGTCGACTACGACGCGACGACGACGCCGCTGCCAACGACGACGACGACGACCCCCGACCTCTCCTTGGCTGCGGTCTGGGCAGAAACTTAGGCGCATCCAGTCGTGGCCACGAAGGCGGTCATGGAGGCCCAACACACGCTCACAAGCATCGATCCTCGAGCCTCGAAACTCGAACCTCGAACCTCGATCGATCGACCGCCGACGACGACGAGGACGACGACCCTCGACTTGTTCTCGGCTGTGTTTGCGCCAGAACCTCGAGGCGCATCCAGCCGTGGCAACGAGGGTTGCCCTGGCGGCCATTTACCCGCCCCGAAGCATCGATCCTTGAACCTCGATCTTCGATCCTCGATCGACCTACGACGACGACGAGCCCTGACCTCTCCTTGGCTGCATTCTGGCCAGAAGCTCGAGGTCATGCAGCCGTAGCTACGATGGCAGCCCTGGAGGTCCAACACACGCCCCCAAGCATCGATCCTCGAACCTCGAACCGCTTTCCTCGATCCCCGATCGATCGATCGACGAGGACAAGGAGGACGAGGAAGACGAGGTCGAGGACGACGCTGACGACGAGGCCGACGACGACGACGACGGATGCGGCGAGGTCGACGGTGACGACGCGGACGACGAGGACGACCATGACGACGACGACGACGGTGACGACGAGAACGACGACGACGACGGCGGCAGCGGCGGCTGCGGCGACGACGACGACGACGACGACCCTCGACCTCTCCTTGTCTGCGTGCTGGGCAGAACCTCGAGGCGCATCCAGTCGTGGCCATGAGGGTGGCCCAGGGGCCCAGGAGGCCCAACACACGCCCCCAAGCATCGATCCTCGATTTTGGGTCCTTGATCAACCGACCGGTGACGACGACGAGGACGATGACGGCGGCGACGACGACGATGGCGGCGGCGACGACGACGACGAGGACGACGAGGACGGCGACGATGATGACGACGACAACTGCGGCAGCGACGGCGATCCCCGACCCCTCCTTGGCTGCGTTCTGGCCAGAACCTCGAGGCGCATCAAGCCGTGGTCACGAGGGCAGTCCTGGAGGTGCAAAATGCTCCCCAGCATCGATCTTCGATACCCGATCGGCCGAAGAGGACGAGGACACCGACGAGACCGAGGACGACGACGAGGACGACGACGACGATGGTGACGACCCGCGGCGGCGACGACGCCGCCGCCGACGACGACGACGTCGACGACGACGATGCTGACGCCGACGCCGACGACGACGGTGGCGACGACGACGACGACGACGACGGCGACGGCGACGACGACGACCATGTCCTCCGGCCTCTCCTTGGCTGCGTTCTGGGGAGGACCTCGAGGCGCATCCAGACGAGGGCAGTCCTGGAGGTCCAACACACGCCCCCAAGCATCGATCCTCGATCATCGACCCTCGATCGATCGATCGACCGTCGACGACGACGACGAGGACGACGACGACGACGACGACCCCCGACCTCTCCTTTGGCTGCGTTATGGCTAGGACATCGAGGTGCATCCAGCCGTGGCCACGAAGGCGGCCATGGAGGCCCAACACACGCCCCTGACTGAGCATCGAGCCTCGAACCTCGAACTTCGAGTCTCGGTCAATCGATCGACGAGGGCGATGAGGACGAGGCCGAGGACGACGAGGACGTCGACGACAACGACGACGACAATAGTACGACGACGACGACGGCGGCGGCGGCGGCAGCGGCGACGACGATGACGACAGCGACGGCGATCCCCGACCCCTTCTTGGCTGCATTCTGGCCAGAAAATCGAGGCGCATCCAGCCTTGGCCACGAGGGCGGCCCAGGGGGTCGAGCACGCCGCCAAGCACCGATCTCCAATCCTCGACCCTCGATCTTCGACCTTCGACCGGCCGCGAAGGACGACGACGACGCCGACGACGACGACGACGACAACGACGACGACTACGCCGACGACGACGACGTCGACGACGACGCCGACGCCGAAGACGCCGATGCCGACGGCGGCGACGACGACGAAGAAGACGCCGACGCCGACGCCGACGCCGACGACGCCGACGCCGACGACGCCGATGCCGACGCCGACGCCGACGCCGACGCCGACGCCGACGACGACGACGACGACGATAACGACCCCCTGCCGCGGCGAGCACCGCGCGCGAACACCTTGGCAACTACGACAGCATCATCCGGCCGCTGGCAGGCGCGGGGCGCCCCTCCTTCCCTGGGCTGCCCGCCGTGGAGAGACGTCTAGGAGGACGGAGGAGGAGGACGGATGAGGAGGAGGAGGAGGACCGAGGATGTTGGAGGAGGGGGATGAGGAGGAGGAGGAGGAGGACCGAGGATGTTGGGGGAGGAGGAGGGCGGGGAGGAATACTCATAATAACATTAGGATTGATAGTCGTGTTTTGAGTAATAGTACGAACAAAGAAAGGCAACAGTAATACTAACGTTAATATGCAGAAGCATGGTGATACGAGTAATCATACTACTATTAATGCTGCTCGTAGTAGTGATACGAGTAGGACGAATGCTACGAATACTACTAACACTACTACGAATTGTTATACTGATCGTGATAATTGTAGGAGTATTTTTACTAAGACGGGACATAGACAACTCATATTACTACTAATAATAATGTTGATACGGCTAATAGTTATCATCATGCTAAGAAGAAACAAATCAGAAGATGAGGAGGAGGAGAAGGAGAAGGGGGGAGGGCGGAGGAACAAGGACCGATAACGAGGGTGAGCAGCAGCGGTAGGAGGAGTTGGAGGAGGATGAGGCGGAGGAGGAGGAGGAGAAGGAGGATCGAGTATAGAGGATCGATATGATGATGGTGTTGATGGAATTGGCAAACCAGAGACTGGGGAATCACTATCAGGTAGGAGTTGGAGGAGGAGGAGGAGGCGGAGGAGGAGGAGGAGAAGGAGGATCGAGTATAGAGGATCGATATGATGATGGTATTGATGGAATTGGCAAACCAGAGACTGGGGAATCACTATCAGGTGGAGCTGGCGATGATGACGATACCGAGAATTCAGATAATGATGATGCCGATGATGATGATGAAGATGACGATGATGCTGATGATGCTCATGATGATGACGATTATGATGATGATGCTGCTGATCATGATGATGATGATGATGATGATGATGCGGATGATGATGGCGATGATGCTGATGCTGATGCTGCTGATGATGCTGATGATGATACTGACGATGGTGATGATGGTGATGATGATAATGATGATGATGATGAAGATGGTGATGACAATGCTGATATTGCTGATGATGATGAAGCTGATTATGATGATGATTTTGCTCATGTTGATGCTGATGTTAATATTGATGATGATGGCGATGATGATGACGATGATGTTGATGATGATGATGATGATGCTGATTATGATGATGTTGCTGATGCTGATGCTGCTGCTGATGATGCTGATGATGCTGCCGCTGCTGCTGCTGCTGATGATGATGCTGATGCTGATGCTGATGATGGTGATGGTGATGGTGATGATGATGATGCTGATGATGATGATGCTGATGATGATGATGATGATGCTGATGACGATGGATGATGATGATGATGATGATGATGATGATGATGATGATGATGATGATGATGATGATGATGCTGATGATGTTCATGATGATGATGATGATGATGATGCTGATGATGCTGATGATGCTGCCGCTGCTGCTGCTGCTGATGATGATGATGCTGTTGCTGATGCTGATGATGGTGATGGTGATGGTGATGATGATGATGCTGATGATGATGCTGATGATGATGATGCTGATGACGATGGATGATGATGATGATGATGATGATGATGATGATGATGATGATGATGATGATGATGGTGGTGGTGGTGGTGGTGGTGGTGATGATGTGATGATGATGATGATGATGATGATGATGATGACGATGATGATGATGATGATGATGATGATGCTGATGATGATGATGATGATGATGATGATGATGATGATGATGATGATGATGATGATGATGGTGATGGTGATGTTCATGGTGATGGTGATGGTGATGGTGATGGTGATGCTGATGGTGATGGTGATGGTGATGGTGATGGCAAGGAGGAGGCGGAGGAGGAGGAGGAGGATGAGCAGGAGGAGGAGGAGGAGGAGGAGGAGGAGGAGGAGGAGGAGGAGGAGGTGGAGTGGCGGCCGATCTTGCTCCGCCCCAGTGCCCAGAAGATGTGTCCGGTCTGTTCCTTCAGAGTCGGGGCCTCCCCCTTCGGCTTCCCAGTGGGGGTCAGGCCGGGTCTGCATGCCCACGGCTGGGGGGGGGGGCCGCTCGGGGCCCAGGCGGAGCGACTGCAGCACGGCCACCCGGACTGCAGGCTCGTGGTCAGAGGGCGTCCCCGACTGAGCACGGGTGCAGCTACAGTTGAGTTGGGTCTGTCCCTCGACAGGGGGAATATTAAAACAACACTTACAACATAGTCAGGGGATGCTTTTTGGGGTAGTTTTTGACATGCTTTGGTGCTACATGTATATATATATATATGTACATATATATAATTCTCCCACACATCCAAGGTGGGGTTCTTGTTTTCTCTGGACAACCCGCGCAGGAACACACAGGAACACACACTCGATCACACTCACATTCACTCACGCACAGACCATCTTGATCACCTTGACCATCACTCGATCACACACTCACTCACCCACTCACTCATCATCTGCATCATCATCATCATCATCATCATCATCATCATCATCATCATCATCATCATCATCATCATCATCATCATCATCATCACTCATTCAGTCATTCACTCACTCACTCACTCACTCACCCACTCCTTGTCTAGCTTGAATATGGGGACGTATCAGGCCGGAGGCTCGTCAATGATTGAATTGCGAGGAAGTCTTAGGCGGGAGCCCTGTATGGGGCCCGTATTTCATGTTTGTAATCTGGCGGGTCATCCTCGAACTTGTAACAGTCGTCACTTTTGGGTTCCTGGGGCCTGAATATGAGGGACGTATCAGGCGGGAGCTTCGTCTGTGAGTGAACTGTGAGGAAGTCAGGCAGGAGCCCTATGGGGCCCGCATGTAATTGTTCAATCCGAGCGGGTCATCCTCGAACCTGTAACAGTCATCCATTTTGGGCTCCTGAGGCCTGAACATGGGAGAAGAATCAGGCGGGAGCCTTGTCTGTAAGTGAACTGTAAGGAAGTCTCAGGCGGGAGCCCCCTCCCTATGGGGCCCGCATTTAATGTTTTTCATATGAGCGGTCATCCTCGAACTTGTATCTGTCGTCACTGTCGGGCTCCTGAGGCCTGAATATGGGGGAAGTATCAGGCGGGAGCCTAGTTTGTGAGTTCACTGTGAGGAAGTCTCAGGCGGGAGCCCCCTCCCTATGGGGCCCGTATTTAATGTTTTTAATCCGAGCGGGTCATCTTCGAACCTGTAACTAACTCGGTGTTTGCAGGGTTGTGCCAACGTCTTGCTCGCGCGCCCCAGCGGCTCGCGCGGTTGCCCCAACGGCCTTGCCCGCGTGGTTGTGCCAACGGCCGCGCGACGCGTCCATTCGGGAATGCGCCCGCGCTGGCCGAGGCGGCGACGGCGTCGAGGAAAATCGACGCGCGCGCTCTTGCAATAGAAAGGGGGGGGGGAAGATGGTGGGTGACGAAACAAACAGCAGGAGGGCGAGGCGAGGGCAACGCGGGGTGCGGGTGAGGGCCTTGCGCCAGGGCGATAATGATAATGACGCAGAGAAGACAATACGGGCGCCTCACTAATCGCGAGGACGACAATGTAACTTTTTTACAGATTCGCTGAAGGATTTTCATGTGGTGTCTTTCCGTCGTTTTTTTTTTTTTTGTTTGTTTGTTTTTTTTGTATATTATGTTTGAAATCTCCCTGTAGGAGGAAAGGCCCGACTTTAAACTACAGTCGGACCGACCACGGCACACCCGGCCGCCCGACCGAGCTTGAGTGAAACTCTGGTCAGCCAGCGTCCTCCGCCGCGCCTTCACGGCGCCACGCGCGCGGAACCGTAGCCGTCGCCGCAGCCGTGGCCTCCTCCCTGGCCGCTTTGCCTTCCCGCCGTCCGCCTGTAGTTCCTGTGACTCCGCGGTGGTGGGTGCGGCTGGGCCGATGCAAAAGATCGAGGTCGGTTCGGGGAGGTTGCCCTCGTTCGGCAGCGAGCGAGGGAAGTGAGAAAGAAAAGGCCTTCTCAGAAGCCTCGGAGGTCCCCCGGCCTCCCCGGCCTTCTGAGAAGTTCTTCAAGCCTTCCCCGAAGACGCAGAACACCTCTCAGAAAACCAGAGCGTCTCTGAGACGTCCCGCCGCCTTCTGGGAAGGCCCCTCTTTCTCACTTCCCCCCCTCCCTCGCTGCCGACTCGTGTTCGTCGTGTCTGCGAGATGTTCTTGTGCATCCTGGGGGACGGCACCCTCGCATGCGCTTCGGTCTGGCCGGCGGAAGGGTCTCGCGATCTTCAGAGGATGCTTTTCTGTTTTGGGTCCGGCCGTACGGGCCCGCGCCATTCCAGGGCCCCAAGAGGATCTCGCCGGACAGGGCTAGGACGAGGATAAATCCGTTCCAGAGCGTTCCGGAACGCTCTCAGAGCGTTCCGGGACGCTCCAGAACGCTTTGAGAAGGCCGCAGCGCCCGAGACATCCTCCAGAGCCGCCAGATTTCAGAAATTCTCGAATTCGTCCCCACCCGATTAGATATTCGTCCCGGCTTCGTCTTATCTCGAGGCAGGCTCGAGAGCAGCCGCAGGGCCACGGCAGGGAAAAGGGTTCGATTTGGAGTTGTGCCTGCTGCGCGGAACCTGCCTGCCATGGCGTACGACCTCGGGAGAAGGTCCCGGCCCCTCGACTGTGCTGGGATCGGCGGCGGTCCCAGTGTGGATGGTTGGACAGAAGCGAGGCCGCGAGATCTAGGTACAGTCGGACCGAGGTGAAAGACCGAGGTCGATTCGGGGAGGGTATCCCAGTGCTCTTTGTGCTTGTTGGAGGTTTTGGTGCATCCTGAGGAGGGAACCCTTGGCTGTTCTGTCTGTGTGTGTGTGTGTGTGTTGGCTGGCGGGGGGTCTCATGCTCTTGCAGGATGTTCTTCTGGCCTAGGTCCGACTCTAGTATGGCTGCCGTCATACTAGGAGTAGGCATTCAACTGCCAAAACATGTCTGGCTGTTGCTCGACAAGACGGGCCCCGTGGAGATGGGCGCTGGTGCTGTGCGCCCAGCACCCGCGCAAGGACTATGGGTTCGTCGCCCTCTGACGCCGAGTGTCTTTCGACAGCCCCCCAATTAGGGCTACTCGCGTCCCGTTTAGCTCTTGACCGGAAGGGGCCCCCTCCCGACCCGCAGACCAACAAAAAGTCTCTCGACAGCCGTGCGCCAGCGGAGGTCGACATGCGAGGGCCCCGCGGCCTTGGAGCAGCTTAACGAACGGAGGGGCCCAGTTCCAGAGTGGCGGGGGAGGTCCCGCCTGCCCTCGCCCCCTCTCTGTCAGTGAAAGCTGTGCGCGTCCCGCTGAGCTTTGAGCGGAAGAGGCTCGCTCTCGCCCTGCAGATCAAAACATGTTCCAGACTGGCGGGGGAGGCCTGGAGCAAATGGTCCCCAGGTAGGCCTGCAAAAGTCTTGGTCGTGTCATCGGGCGACGGAGCGTTCGGTCACCAGGCCGCACATATGGCCGCCTGGGTGATCGGACGTCGGTGGTGATGCTGCCATGTGCTTGCACGCATCAGGGCTAAAGTAGGCTTGGAGTCCGGGGATACCTTGGCCTTTGCTTGCGTCGCAGGACATCCATGTGGCTCTGCTTTGGCACTGGACCACCTCCAGGGTAACCCTTGCGCTTCGGCTTTAGGCCAACCGTCGCTGGACAGAGGCCAGAGACCCGCTGTGTGCTGGGGCATGCACGGCAGGAAGCAGTTTGGCAGGGGGGGTGACACTTCATTCTGGCGCCCCGA